TAAAACGCAGAGTGTTTTTTGTCCTCAAGAAACTTGGACTTATCGGTGTTTTTTTTTTTTTTTTTTTTTTTTTTTTTTTTTTTTCCTTCAGGGTGTAAGGGTCTAAAAGTTTACCTTCTGAGCCAACATGGAGAAGGCTGTAGTATTTAGCATTCATTTTTTTTTTTTTCTTGTGCTCAAGGACTTGGTTTCTGAACCATGAAAGTCTATGTTACATAGTCATAAGAATAACAGAAACGGCTAACTTTGTAAAGGGCTTTCATTCTTCCAGGCATCCTCCTCAATTCTTTGTGACTCTTGTCTCAAACTTCCAAGATAAATACTGGCATTATTTTTGTTTCACAGAGAGAAAAAAAATTTCAGAATGGATAAGTAACTTGTCCAAGACTAGTGCTGGACTTCATAACCACATAGGCTGGCTCCAGAATCCACTATACTTCCAAATACATTGGCATTAAATATGCTTGCATAAGAACATTTGAGCGAGATTGCTTTATTAATGCATTCCATACATGTGTTACTCCATCACTAATGAGAGACATTGGATGTCCTGATCTCCACAGTGAAACTCCCACGGGGCATACAAGTCCAAGCCAAAGCCAGACTGTTCTCTGGCATATGCTGATTATGTTCATCTAGTCCTCTAATTGGTCTCAGGTTGCTTTTGTAAGTCCAGACAACTCTGATTCAGGAGAGTTGAGATTTAATTTATCTTTAAATTAGATCCCAATTTGTTTCTGAAAATATGTAAGCAAACATGACTTAATATTAAGTGCTGCTCCCTCAGTGAAACAATTACTGGGCCTCAAGTACAAACCTTAGTATAAAACTACCATAATATGGCATCCCACATGGCTTCTTGTGTTGATCTAGGGTTCTTCACTCTTCATAGTGAACAGAAATCAGCTCACTACTAAAATCAGGGAAGTGAACCTAGGATTGGCTTGATAAGTTAGATAATTGGCCCTTTCTAATAAAAAAACAGTGCAGTTAAGAAGAATTCTTTGTAAAAGCAGCAGTTGTTCTATGGATTCTGAACTTCAAAACAGCAGAGAGTACTATTTCAGGAGAACATTGTAAATCAGTGAGACTGCCAGGCTGTATTTTAAAGTATTTCTCCAGAAGTCCCCTGAATGCTCCCAGATTCTCTGAACAGAGAGAGGAAATGCACTTATATAACATTTGCATTCTGTGCTTTTCTAACAGCAATACTATGAGGTGCCGATTGCAATGAAGTCTGTGTTTGATCTGATTGATACATTCCAGTCCCGAATCAAAGACATGGAGAAGCAGAAAAAGGAGGGCACTATTTGCAAAGAGGACAAGAAGCAGTCCCTGGAGAACTTCTTATCCAGGTACCTCCTTTTTCCAGTCTTGAAAGAGGCAAACACAAATTTGTTTGATGTGAGCTAAGGAAAATGCCAAAGAGACAGAGAACCAAATGTGGGTACAGAGAGTGATCCTGTCTGGAGAAAGGCTTGCCAGTCTCTGGGAACTCTGGCCACAGGCCTGCCTCCTTCTGTTGGAAGTGACCACTTGGAAAGCTGACTGAGCTCAGCTTTGTGAGTAAATGCAGGTTTGGTGATTTTGGCTATGCCTTTCCTCTCATTTCTGCTCCTTTTTTGTACCAGAATGTAGAATTACAAACTTCTTTGTGGACTGATTCATTCAGTGAGTGAATTTAGAATTTTATGTGTATGAAACTTATTTTACATATTTATTTATTAGACTGGTTCTAGTTCCAAATTGGATTTGGCATACTATGCTTGATTTTCTGCTTCCAACTGTGCAGAAAACAACAAAAGCCCCACTAAGACCTCAGAAGGAAATATCCTCTTGACCCAGCTCTCCGATTCTCTGGAGAGTGTCATTTGTTAAAAGCCTTTTCACAGCAACCTCAGTACTTGAGGAAGGAATATACCCAGATAAACATGAAAACAAACAAACAAACAAACAAACAAATAAATAAATTTCTCCCTTTTCCTTTCCTTCCTTGATGTTAAAGAAAAAATCTAGAGGGTCTTTGGGACCTTAGGAAGTGCAAAAATATAAAACCCACTACAAACCCACAAAATAAACCAATTGTACTTACTGCATGGCTGAGGGGCACCAGAAATGGAGCATTTGCCTGGAGGCTCTGGTTAAATGTTCATCATTTAGGCGGAATCTTTACTCATGGTTGTAGAAGCCCAGGCCCATGTGTGAGTCAGTGTATCAAAAACTGTATAATTAGTAAGTGGATAATCTGAACCATTACAGATTCAGGAAGCTTGAGTCTTAGGTCATAACATCATGGTATCTAAGGAACAGAGAACATATTACTCATTCGTGTTTTGGGTCTGCAATTTATTAGCTGTGTTGACTCTGCCCTACTCAATTAAATATATCTTGGTCATTAGATAGCAAGAACAGTGGCAAGTGTCTCTGTTCCCATCCCAGCCTTGTTGCGGTCACTTTCCATGTGCTCATCTCTCTGCTGCGTACTCCACCTTCATTCCCTGGTTTAATCAGCTGAATGATTAGCCATGTGGTCTAAGAGCTTATTTGTAGGTGGGATGCAAGAGAGATGACCAACGCTTATGGGGATCAAGTAGCTTTCTCTCACCACTGGGCTAGCATCCGTTCCAGAAGACAGTGGCCTAAGGACAATTGAACTCCCAAAGTTGATCACTTCATGTGCCTTTGGAAAATAAAATAGGAGTTATTTTTAGTTCTGGACCCAGAGGCCCACGGTTTGAAGTAAAAAAAAAGACATTCCAAAAATTACAGGATTTCAGAACCAAAAGGAAATGGAGATTCTATCTTCATCCGGAATCAGGATGCCCTGCAAGTATCCAATATAGCATTGGAGGCTGAATACTTTCTAAGATCTTTCTTAAGTCCAACTAGGCCCTAAAGGCACTAAGCCAAGAAAGAGTTCTGGATTCCATTGGGCACCCGATTATTTAACCAATCCTATGGACACTAAAACACCACCTTATTGCTGTTATTATTTGGTTTGTGTTTTGAAGTGTTTGGGAGTGAACCCAGGGCCTTCACCATGAGCTTAATTCCCTAGCCCTTTTATTTTTAGACAGCTTACTAAGTTACTAAATTGCTCAGGCTGTTGTCAAGCTTGCAATTCTCCTGCCTCGGCCTTCCCAGAATGCTGGGATTACAGGTGTGTGCCCCCACATTTGGCTTTAAAACACCAACTTCTGATTCAAGGGTATCCTGCTAGATGATGATGACACAGAAGACTGATGTGAAAGGTTTTACATTTCCCTCCAGCTATATGTTTATTCTTTTTTAAGGTGGAACAGTTTCTTTAGAAGTTTGATTTTGATTCTAACAATTAGTGTTAAATATACTCGTTATAAATTTCAGACTTCTCTCTTAAATTTTTAAATTAGGTTTATACATTTTATTTTTCTATTAATAATTTAGCAAATTTTAGCTACCACTTTTAAGAGGGCTTTAAGAATTTTTGATTTCTGTTATGAACTAACTACCAAGTCACATTATCATTTCATGTAATCATTATTTATTTATTTATTTTAGTTACTTGAAATAACCAAAACCTGAATACTTAAATAACCGCTGAGTTTAATAACTTAATTTTATAAATACAATGAATCTAATCTAATACAATGAATCTAATCTAATACTTAGTAAGAATGCAATTTCTTTCTTTTTTTAAAAAATGTATTTAGTTTACAGGGTTTACAGGGTCTCACTACCTAAATTGGACTCCTAGCAATCCTCCTGTTTTCAGCCTCCCAAGTGCTGGAATTACAGACATACACCACCACTCCCAGTCTCAATCAATGGCTCAGCACGCCCTGGGGGCACACCGGTGTGGCACAGCACGCTGAGGATTCATCCCAGGCCACTGCACTCTGCCTAAGCAAGCGCTTTAGTACACTGAGCTATCAGGCCGGCTCTAAGAATGCAATTCAAAGCACAAATTTAAGCCAATTATTTAGTTACACATTCTGATTTGAAGATTGTCATTTTAGTAGGCCAAATTCAAGCTTCATAGGAATACGAATTACTCTCATATAAAGAAAACTAGAATATAT